AGAAGTGTGAAAACCCCAATTATAACACAGCAACTGTCAGTTGCTTGGCATTTCTGGTATACGAAGCACTGTTCTCAACCTTCTGGGCTATAATGTATCTAACCCTTGCAATTTCTCTATGAGATAAGGTTTTTCATCTCCATTTTACACAGGAGGAATTTAAACGTAGTGCCTGAAAATGGCTCATCCACATCTACCCAGGTAGTAAATGATAAGCACAAAACTGAAATACTGAATTGCATGTGGTCTGAATTTCTACAATTTCCACAATACACACTAATTCTCTACTTCAGTATTTTACATGTAGATCTATGAACTTGTATCTAAATCTATGAAGTTTTCTAAGTGACCATGCCCTTTAAAGTTTGACCCAGTAGTTCCAACTTTAGAACTCTATCCCATGGAAATTATCTAGGAAATTGACAGATTTCTTTGTACCCACACCAATTACAATGCCAATTACAATAGGGAGCCATTAGAATCGGCTTGACCAGCCAGCTGTGACCCTCGTCCAGGAAGCTTTCCCCACCACCCCGGTCTTGGGAGACTGTCCCTTCTCTGTGAGCACGCAGCATCCTAAACTAGTTTCTCACCATTATGTCTGCTCTTCTGGCCTGTGCTCTTCGTAAAAGCTCAGCTCTTTTTACTGGTCTTCGGTTTAGAGTAGGCACTTAAGTATCCGATGAGGAAATAGTAAAAAAGGATCCTGGATTTGCTCATTTGATGGCTATGGGAACTAAAAGCTGGGGCGCATACGGGCCAGACTAGAACTCAAGGCCATGCACAGGGTTCTTTTCCCGCCACTGCACTGCTAGTACTTCTGAATTTCTTAGCAATCTACACTGTTCTTTACAGGCTTGAGGCAGCGGCAGGAAAGGTAGAAGCTCCCTCCTTGACAGGCTCTTACAGGCCCCCTCTGGCAGGAGCACTGAAGTTATCAGATCCAGGGTACCACATGACCTTGAAGAGGAGATGCTGAGCAGCTGATATGGATGACAAACCAAAGGGTGCAGTTACAACACAGACTACACTGTGAACTGTACATGTGAAAAGGCCACTCCAGAGAGCCAAGAGACATAAACTGCACATACAGTATGTTCTCAACAATTAGAGGAAACAAACCCTTTTAAAAAAGAAAAAAACCAGAAGAAAAATAGTCAGGTATTAACAATGGTTGTCTTCAGATCGTGGAATTCTTTTCTGTTTCTCAATATATTTTTTATACTTTAAATTGTCTTCAATGGGCACTCTTTATTTTTATAATCATAACATAAATAAAATTTAAATCACCATTATGATTCTACAAGTTAACTGTCCCTTCTACCAATAACTTAGAAAATCACCCTAGCATTTTAATATAGCGAAACTGCTTTGCTTTATGTTAGGATTACATATAACCCTATAAAAAGTACATCTACAGTAGGTCAGGGATTTAGCTCAGTGGCACCGTGCCTGCCTGGCAAGCACAAGGTCCTGAGTTCGTTCCCTGATACCGCAAAAAAAAAAAGTATATCTACAGAGTCAGAATGCCATCATGTAGTTCAAGAATTCATTTGGGTAAGCCAAAAAAAGTCACTTTTCTCTAATACAGGTCTTATCAAACAAATTCCTGATAACAGACCTAAGCAAGAAACTCCTCATCCAAATTTTCAGGACCTTAATGTTCCAGATGATTAATGTGGATTCCATTAATGAATTATTTCTGGCATTTTTTAGTTGTCACATCCTCACATTCTCTTTGAAGTCTTCCCTCTTCCACTCATTTCCTACTGAGTTTTGCCTTTACTCACAGAGAAAAGGGAACCCCCAGATGTCAATATTGAGATAAGTTGGATTTTTTTTCTGTGGGCTTCTGAGGGTATTTTGTCAGAAAGCCAACTGTATTCTGAGTTGTTCAAGCAGGGAATGGGGCTTCCTGAAAAACTAGAATTCCTTCAGGGCAAAGAATGGGTCTATTTGTTCTTTGGATCCCAGGCTGAGCACAAGACTCCCTTCATCTCCATTGGCTATTTGTCAGTAAATAGAGAAGGAAAAGGTGAAGTAACTTGAAATTGCATTCAATTAGGTGTGAAAGTTTTTGCTTTGTTTTTTACTTGATCTATTTACCTTAGGGCTGCACAGATTTCCAGACTACCCAGAGCTCCTCTGGTTGTAGTTTGGCAGGCGTTCACATTTCTTTGTGAGTAGGTATGCCCTCCTAATCCAAGCACTTGAGGTTACCAGATGGGGTTGCTCTGGCCCCAGCATCCTCCACCGCTTGAAATGATGGTGAGCACCTTGAGTTTGCCAAGAGGTCTGAATGTGAGCATGCGTCATGTGGCTATTAGCCACACAACTCCAGGACATTCATAGGCCTTACTCCCTCCCCATACACTGGCAGGCAGCCTGCCAGTTCTAAAAGAAGACAGGAGGGGGAAGGAAGAGCCAGTACCCCTCCTGACTCCAGGCCTAAGCATCTTCTACTCCACTAGAACAGCAGATACAGAGATGGGGCCAAGAGTTTAAGTAGAGTGAACTCACTCCTTTTTGCTTTGTAATTATATGCAAGCAGCTCCATAACTGAGGGATCAAAAGACAGGGAGCAATAGGGGGGAGCCCAGGAGAAGAGCAAAGTAAGCATTGAAGAAAGCTGGTGCCTGGTGGTAATTGCAGGACTCCTTATCCCATCTACCACTGGAAGCCACGGCTTTGTTTAATAATCAAACCCATTTAAAGCCTTAAGGAATTCATTCTCTGACTTACAGGGCATTGTTATAGCAACCATGGCAACTTTGACTTTACTCTGGGGTATCAACAGCAGCTCGTTTGATGCAAGAGTTTCTGTTTTACGCAAAAAAGAAGCACTAAAAGTAGACTGTGAGTTGCTGTGTACCAGTGGGCAAGTAATTTCTCTTTAGAAAATAAAAGGGCTCAGGGTCTGTCTGGCCAGATGATTTCTCAATTTCTTTAGCATCTTGAAGAAAAAAAATATACTCAAGCCCAAGTGGAATTACTATGAAAGTGAAACACCCTGGAAATTCTAAGAAAAGAAACAAGTGTAGCTAGGAGATAACAGGGACATGAGAAACCACAAACTTTGAGTTAACTTTGGGGAAACCCAGCCTCACGATGTTCTTTGCTTGTTTTCAACTTCTCCACTGCCAAATACAAAAATAAGCAGCTACTTCCGCGGGGCTCATAAAAAAATAAATTAAATTAAATCAATGAAAACAATGCTTTGTTCTCCCATGAGGGGCTCAGGAGGAGCCTGCTAAGAGACACTTTCCTCCCAGCAATACATGTCAACAGCCACAGCTTTTGACCAAACAAAAGGCTCCTGGCACAGGGATGAGAGGCCAAACATCTAAGTCTCCACGGTTGGCCCGATTCCAATCTGAAGGGAAAGGGGCAGCCAGGAGAGAAAAATAACTGTACTTAGGAAAGGCTAGGAGAGTAAGGAATTACTAAATGTAATTTTTTTCTCAACAGAATAAAGAACTCTGGAAAGGGATAATGGAAGGGTGCAGCTTTCAATTTGAATTACTTTCTTTGTCTAACTGTATTCTGCCTAAGGCCACGGCCTTTTAAGCCAACCACGGAATCCGGGTTGTGCCTTTCATTGACGGCAGAGCGGTGCAGTAAGGGAGTGGGAGCCCCACGCCGATCTCACCTGGTTTAAACTTGGACAAGTGGCTGAACGCTGAGAGCTCAGCTTCTCGCCTGTAGAAACAGACGGTCTGCAAACACAAGGTCCTGAGTTCGATCACCGGTACCAAAAAAAGGGCAAAAACAGACGGTCTGCAAGACGCTCCCTAGACCCTTCGGGTAACAGCGGTCTGGGGTCGGCGGCTCTCCGCTCCCCTCGGGGACAGCTTCGTCTCCAGCGGCCCCCGAGCCCAAATGCTCAACAGGCTCACGTCAGGCGGCGCCCGACGACCTCACAGCCTTCTCCCGGACCGCCGCCGCCGCCTGAAGCCAATTCATTCCCCAAACCATCACGCCGCTGCCAGCCCAAATCTGATAAAATAAAATCCGCAGAGCTCAGCTGAGCACATGTAAGCAAAGAAAAACAAACAAGAGGCCTGCCTCCCTCTCCCTCCTCGCCTCCCTCTCTGCACCCGGAATTTCAGACTACTACTGAAATCTCAGTCTCCACCTAAAACAACGGGGCTTGGCTGGCCTCGCTCGGAACACGGGAAAAGAGAAGGACCAGCGACACCCGGGGTCGCGCGGGGACAGGAGAGGCTCAAGGATGCGGGCAAAGGGCAGGCCAAACCCAGGGTCTCGCCCGCCGGCGCTGAAGCCGGACTGGCCTTTCCGCAGGCTGGGGCAGTGGCCAGGCGCGGGACAATGGGCACGGTCCTTTGGCGAAAGCGGCTCGTACACAGGCCCTCAGTCCAAACCACATCGCTAGGAGGCGGAGGTGCAGGGTCGTGCAGTTTATTACAAGGAAAGCGCCAGGGCCGGCGAATGCCTCCCCCGGGGTGGTCTCTTCGCCTTCCAGTTTCGTTTCCCCCAGTTTAAATCTGCCGCCGCAGCGCAGTGGGATGGGGTGCCCCGAGGGTACCTTTAAAGGTCTCTGCCCTCCTCCCGCAGGGGCGCCCCCCGCGGGCTCCACCCGCCCGGCGGAGACAAAGCCCGGCCCCGCGGGGCGCAGCGGGGATCCCCGCGCGGGGCGCACGTGCGTTTGTTGTGGTGCTGCCTCCGCCGGCCTCGGTCTCTGGGTCTGCAAACCCAGCCCGCAAGATCTACAGGAACCGGGGCCGACAGGGCGTCCTCCTCCCACCCACCAGCGCCGCGGCGGGGAAAGGGGGATTCCTGAGGTCGGCGCGCACGTGGGTTTGTTGTGGGTCCGCGAGCTCGCGGCGCGGGAGACGAGCCGGGGCGGCCCCTCGGCCTGGACAGACGCACGGACGCCCCAGCCAGAAGACGGCCCCGGGGCGGCGCTGGGTCCGATTCCCCGCGCCCCGCTCCGCCCCGCGCCCCGTGGCATCTGCGCCACCCGCCGCGCCCCTACTCACTCCTGCGCGCCCCGCCTGGAGGCTGCGGCTGCTCCGCGCTGAGCTCCGCTCCCGCGCCCGCGCCGGCCAGCAGCCAGCTCCCTTTGTTAGCGCCCGGCGGTGCCCGGCGCCTTCCCAGCCTGGCCCTGCCCAGGACTCCCCTCCCCCAGGTGCCTGTGGGCTCCGCGCGGGCGCGAGTGGGCCAGCCGGGAACTGCAGCTCCAGGGGGACTCCCGCGAGAAGGGGCCCGCTCGGGAGGAGCGAGGGACCCGGGATGCGGGGTGGAGGCAGGCGGGAGACCAGAGCGCAGCAGAGGGGCGGGGAGGAAGCGGGCCGGCTCCGTTATGCAAATAGAGTCGGTAAGGCTAGGTGAGTCCGGGGCCACACCGAGTCCCGAACCAGCCCGGCCCTCTGGAGGTCGCTAGGGAGCGGGTTCTGAGTCAAGGATGCCTGGTTCGGGCTCTGCGTGGCGCTGGGACCCTTCTGTCCCCAGGGAGCGCCGACCCAGGGGAGGGGCATGCGACCAGCAAGGACCCCTAAATGCTGCTTCACCTCCCAGCCCCACTCCACGTGTCCTTTGGTCTTGACAGTCAGGCACTGTAATCCCCTCTCTCTGCTACCTGTCGGTGTGAACCTGATCAAGTCGCTTAAACTCTGAAAACTTGCCCTGTTCTTATGTAGGGTAGGAAAGAACAAAATCTGTCACAGGTTTGGTCAGAATCTCCTAACATCAACCAGGCCTGGTGGCTCAGGCCTGTAATTCCAGCTATTTGGGAGACAACCAGGAGGATCACAAGTTCACAGACACCCTCAGCAATTTAGCAAGACCCTGCCTCAAAATTTTAAAGGGGGGCTGAAAATGTAGCTCAGTGCTCTTGCCTTGCATGTGTAAGTCCCTGGGTTCAATCCCCTGTATAGCAAAAAAAAAGAGGGGGGGTTCTAACTTCAGGATGTATGTCATATATTAGATGCTATCAAACAGCAGTTACCAAAAGCAAGGAAACGGTGTGGTAGAAACTCTCATCCCACGCTGCTTCAGGCAGTGGGTCCAAGTCCTCCTGTAGGATGCTGAAGGGCAGGGGATTCCTTCCTCTTACTCAGGCTATGGTGGAGCTGCTGGGAAGGAAGGGGAACTTGCTTGGTAGGTATCAGGCTCCACGCTGACCATCCCTGGTTGCCCAGGACAGAAAGCAGCCTGAAAGTCACCAAAGCCTAGGGACTCAATAGAAGGGATGTGACTACCAGGGGCAGTAATCATATCCCAGGTGTCTAGAGTGCCCAGCTGTGTGCTGAGAGGGGAAGGGGGTGGGGAACGGGGAAGAGGGGGATAGTCTGGGTCCTCTAGGTGCTGGAAGCCTGGCCCCAGGGTCTCCCCGAGTCAAGGAGGGGCCTCTCCCCAACACCTTTCTTCCAAACTCCGCTTCTTCCCTACCTCCCTCCCTCCCCTGTGCTGCCAGCCCTCGGCCTGCTGCCCTGGGGACAGGATTGCTCAGCAAGAAGGGCTCGAGCTGGACAGAGCTCCCGGCAGTGGATTCAAACCTGTGTCAGCTAGCTCTGCCTCCTTGGGTGAGTTCCAGTCCCTCTGAGGCACCCTCTCCTCTTCTGTCAACTGGAGCTATCCAGGCTGCCACTGCTTTCGCGGTGACGTGAGATGATTTGTGGGAAGCACTTAACTTAGTGGCTGACATATAGAAGGTGTTTATCGCGGGAAATGCGGGTGTGACTGAATGAATGGAAGCAGAGAAATTCAGAGGACTTTCTGAAATGAAGCTATTGAAGATGTACTTTGTTCTAAAAAACAAAAATGGGGCTGTTGAAAAATTGTGTGTCGTGGCCGGAGCCAAGAATGCAAGCCCAGAGACTGGCTTGGAAGATGACCTCAGCAGAAGTATAAGGAGACCCTGAAGTGTGGCAGTGGCAGAGGGAACGAAGGAAGAACATCTGAATCATCCCTACCATTTGGGGGAGTAAAGTCATTTTTCTTATTATAGCATCTCTCCTCTTATGAGGCTGGTAAGTCCATGACCAGGATGCTGAGAACTTATTCTCTGGTGCATAGCTGATACCGTCTACATTGTTGCATCTCCACATGGGAGAAGGGCTGTGTAGCTTTCTGAGGTGTCTTATTAGTCACTTTCTCAATGCTGAGACACAACACCTGGCATCTCACATCAACAGAGGACAGGTTTATTTTGGCTCGAGTTTCAGTCCTTAGTTGGCTGGCCCCAAGGCAGGAGAGCAAGGGCAAAGGAGAGCTGCCCACACCATGGCTCCAATGAAAGAGAGAGGGGGGAGTGGGCAGGGAGTGAGATTAAGCCCTTCCAGACCCCCCACCCACCTCTTTTGACCAGACCCCACCTCCTAACAGAAAGCCAGCTCTAAGCCCTGTGATCCAATCACCCTCCAAAAGTCCCATCCATGAGCTGTGAAGCTCATGGGAGACACTGAGACAATAAACCATGGCATGGGGTCTCTTTCATAAGCACTACAGTCCCAGGCATGAGGGCTTTGCCTTCAGAACCTACTCCCTGGAGCAGAGCCCACCTCCTAGTATCACCAAGGAACAGAGGATTTCAACACACGAGTTGGGGGGATGCATCCAGATGGTGAAGGTGGAGGTTACAGAGCTGAGAATGTCGGAGGAAAAACAGTTGTGTGTACGTCTAAGGAAAACAGTTGAGGCAGGAGCCCCAGAGACAGTGGAGGCGGATGCCTCACAAATAGGCTGGGGACAGCAGCCCAGTCCCCCACTAGTAGCCCAGCCTCCTGCTTCTCGTATGCAGGTGAGAAGACCCCAACAGATGAGAGCAGTCTGGGTGGAAACTTTGCCCACCTTGGAATTCACCAGGAGCATCCCTGGTTCCCCGCTCGCCTGCCTGAGCCACAGAACTTCCACAATTCAGAGCATCTGTGGTTACCTCGGTCATGCAAGCCAAGAATCCTCCTGGTTTCTCCGAAGTTTGAGTTCTGGGAAGCAGAACTGAGGATGGGGGACTGTGCAGCCTTTTAAAACAGCCCCTAAGAAGCATTGACACATCAATCTGTGCCCCCGATGTCAGCCCTCGGTGTCTCCAGGCTTAAGGATGAAGCTGCATACTCACACCTAAGCCTCACAGAGCCAGTGAGAGAAGCAGAAATAGAAGAACAGCATCCCTCAGGTAAGCAGCCAGGGGTGACTCCTGCTGATTGCTGTGCCTTGAGGCCCAGCTGCAGAGGAGTCAGTGCAGTGTGGACTGAGGCCAGGGGAGGACGCTAGAGGGCTGAGGCGAGAGGTAGAAACCAGTCTGCGAGGAGGGCCCCAGAAGGGCAGACGGAGCTCAGGCAGTGTGATCAAGAAAGGCCAGAGAATGGATCTATCCTGTGGGCACTTGGGCTGCCCTTTACCAGTCGACTTCAGGTCTTGGGAAGATACGGAGAAAACCTGAGTCTCCTTTATCAAATCATTTGTGTTTTACCAAAATATCTCCTGGTTCATAACATAGACCTCCATATAGTGAACGTCTCCATGGAAGGGAATTGGTGTGAACGTTCTCATTTAATTTTCCCTTCGAGGAGGGCTATTTTCCTGAGCACCCACGTATACCCAGGTCATCCTGAGCTACTTTTTTGGTTCTTTACCCCAGGCCAATTTCAGAATGAGATGCATGTATGCGGGTGGAGGGAGCAGGAGGAGGACTACAGATCTGATTTCAAAACCATAAAAGAAAGAGAGGTCTTCACAAAAGGTTTCTTAAGAAGGCAAAACGATGCCCCATCAAATATCAGGAGGCAAGACCTCTAAATATCTGCTGACAACATCCTTTCTGCAAAATTCTCATCAGGCAGCCTCCCACATCCCCACACAGCTCTACCCAACATCCATCCTCCCCTTTCCCCAGACTCTTATGTCTCCCTTAATTTTACTGTTGTAGAAAAAAATATGTAATTCTCTTAGTGTCTCCAAAAGGTGTGAGAAAGAAAGTGGGAAGCTACCCCCAAAATAAATAAAATCAAGACAACTCAGCACATGGATCATCCCCCGGCGGGCCTCCTCAGACTCAGAGTCACCCCACTGACAGATGAGAAACAGTCTCAGAGGAAACCTGACTCGCTACAAGGCCACTGGCAAGTATGAGTCCCGACTCGGAAGAGGCCTTCTGCCTTCAGCCACATCTGGCCCCCAGGCCGCCAGAGGCTGGAAACCCATCAAACTGCCAGAGACACCAGCGCAGCTGTTGCCCTGGGGTGAGACTCGGAAGCTCTGTCCAGGAAACCAAGGTCACCAGCCATGGAGGAAACACAAGCCTTCAGGGACCCCGGGGAAGCAGAGATGCTTGTAATCTGTCCTCTCAAAAAGATTCGGGACATTGGGTTCCCTCAAGGGACTTTTACCAGAGCCGAAGTGGAAGCAGGCACCCGGTGTTCATGCATAGGAATGACTGCCAGGATGACCTGCAGACAGGGCCAAGGCTTTGTGCAAGAGGGCGTGTGGGCCAGTGAGAGGTCTCTGCCACTGAGAATGGTCTGACCGACATGCTGTGCCTTCTTGCTGACTCTGGGTCTGGTCCCGGGGTAGCCTGTCCCATGCTTCTTGCCTGTGGTCTCACCACCGGACTCTGGAGACAGATGCTTGGGGCATATTTGATCCCCAAATGGATGTGTTCCTGGATTCCAAAGTCAAAGTTTGCTGTAACTCAGAAGCTGTTTTCTGCTGTGTTTTTTAAACTCATACTCTGCACCCTTAGACCTTTCTCTGGGATTTCCTTCTGCCTCGGCCTCATGGACTGTGCCGTTGAGAGCAATCATCTCATTTCTCTCAAGGCCAAAGGATCTGACTGTGTCGCTCTGGAAGACACCGGGATCTGGACTGTGAGCTGCTCCCGCACCTAGGCTGCTGTGCTCTGTCTGTCTCCACTTCCCACCCCAGGGTGATGCTGAAGCCCACTTTCCTCCCACACAAGGTTCTCCTTTTTATCTGATCCACCTCACTGCAGCTCCCACAGCACCACTGAGCCCTTTGGGCAGCTTCTCAGAGCCAGATCCCAGAGGACAGTGCGGGAGGTGACAGGGTCCAGCCCCAGCATTGCAGGTTCTCGGTCCTCCTTGGATCACAAGTGAGGCTACACCCCGGGTGTCCAGGCTGTGGAGGAAACTGATGAAGGGAAACAAAACTTGGGTCTTAGCCACTTACCACCATGATCCAGTCTCATGTTTTAAAAGTCCATTTTAATATCCTTTCCCCCTTGATTTTCCAGGGAAGCTTTGCTTTCAAACATTTGAA